AAGAAAATTATTTATTTATCAGTTATAATAAAATGCCATCTAGCTGCGAGTGATTGCTATTAAGGGAACTTGGTTTTTTTTTTTTTTTTACAAAATCTCTGGGCACGGTCTCCTTTCAATACTTGCTTTTTGGTCAAAACAAGAATAAACACGACACTTGTGCTCAGTTACTCCAAACCAAGCGACCGGTTTACCCAACATGGACCATGTGTCAGAAACTGTACTAGGCACAAGAGAAGGCATCCTGCCCTCAAGGGGTTTACATTCTAGGTAGGGAGAAACATGAGCAGAAAATTAGAGTATAATAAATAAAAGTAAGAAAAAGAAAGAGTGAATGAAAGGAAGAAAGACAAAAGAAAGGAGAGAAAGAAAGGAAGGAAGGAAGGGAGGAAGGAAAGAAAAGAAACGAAGAAAGATTGGAGTACATGTCTCCAAGCCCTCGCTGTGGTATGCAGGTGACCTGGTGTACTCTCAAAGTGCAATCTCTAGAAGCAGATGAAAGGTTGCCAGACCAGCCCCTGAGATGTGTCTGTCACCGAAGGACCCAAGAGCAAGGGGTGTCCTCATCACAGGGTTGGTTGGCCATGAAGGGAGAAACAAGAAAGACTACCCCCTGTGCTAGGCAAGGCTGGAGGAAGACCACATGCCCATAAAATCAGAGATGTCTGAGGAAAGTAGTGAAATCAGGGCATGCCCAGGAGAAAGGTGCCACCTGAGTCTCGAGTCTTCATGGAAGAAGTGGCCCATAGACCAGGCCCTGAACAATCAGCAGGGGGGATAGGGCACTCTGAGGGAGGGGACAATGAAGGTGTCGAGATGTGGGAGGGAGCAGTGTCCCATTTGGTAAGAGTGTAGTAGACATGAAGGGGAATGATGAATTATAGCTTCACATTCTGGTATCTCTGCTTCTAGGGTCCGCCTCTGCCAATCCATCTCTCACAAAGTTACAAAAATAATCTTCCTAAAGCACAGGTCAGACAATGAACCCTTCAATCAATCAACCCCCAGCCATTTATTAAGTGCCTACTATGTGCCTTGCACTGTGCTGGGTCCTGGGGATATGAAGCCAAAAGTGAAAGGGCCCTGCTCTCAATAAACTTACGTTCTATCAATGAATCAACAGCCATCTGTAAAGTGCCTACTATGTGCCAGGCTCTGCTCTCCTTCAGGGCGCTTTCCCCATCCATCCGCAATAAAATGCAGATTGCTTAGCCTGACATTTCAAGCCATTTACAATACGGCTCCCACTTACATTTTAATCAATCAATCAATGGGCATTTATAAGGCACCTACTGTGTGTCAGGCACTGGAACTGTCTGTGCTCTCAAGGACTCTGCATTCTATATATTATATTCTCTTCCTTCATGTACCCTCTGCTGCAGCCAAACAGGCCTCCTTGCCATTCCCTGATCCTGGAATCCCATTTCCTAGCCTCATGCCTTGGGACAGACTGCCCCCCACGCCTGGAAGACACTCCTTTCTCACCTCTGCCTCTTTGGCCTTTTAGCCTTCTTCAAGGCTCAACATAAAGGCCACCTCCTCCAGGAAGCCCTTCCTGATCTTGCCAGTTGTTGACACTTGCTCCTTCTTCAAATGATCCCCAGGAGACTGTAAGCTCCTTGAGGGCAAGAATGCTTTTCTCTTTTTTCCTTTGTCTCTCCAGCACCTAGTAGAGAGCCTTGTAGAGAAGATAATAAATGCTTCCTGAGTTGAATCAAAGACACCATCCCCAACCTAAAGGAACTCGCTATTTACTGGGAAAAGCCAAAGTTCACACATGAAGAGAACATACAGACGCTGAGAGAACCCTGAATGAGCATCACGTAGAAATGTAACCGGCGCTTCATCTTGACTTTCTGCCATCCGAGACAATGAGGCACCTGCTCATTTGCAAGGCTCCCTCCCAACGTATGTTTAATAATAATAGTTTGTGTAGACATAGCCCCATAAGTTTGGCAAAGCACTTTTACAAACACTATCTCTTCCTTCAATTCTCACAACAACGATGGGAGGTAGGTGCTATTATGCTACCCACTTTACAGAGGAGGAAACAGGCTGAGAGAAGTCAAGGACTTTGACAGGGTCCCACAGGTAGTGAGTGTCTGAGGTGGGATCAGAACTCGGACATTCCTGACCTGCACTCTATTCACTATTAAGCTTCAATAGCTAACTAAGCATCCCAGGAATCTGTTGTTTGCTCCCTAGAAGTCCTAGGGGACTTGAGAGCGTTAGCAAGGATTCCTTAAAGCAAAAGCCTTGTGTTGGCTATGTGGCCAAGATGGAAGATTCAGTGGGACTGGCTCCCCTTAGGAAAAAACCGAGGATGGGCCTCGCCTGTGGCACCCAAACTGGCCCCCTAAGCCTGCTGAACCCCAAAGTAGGGGAAAGAGGTGAAGTTCCTTCTTCAGAAGCCCTCCAAAACTATGCCCAAAGGGCTATAAAAATGTGCACATCCTTTGACCCAGCAATAGCACTTCTAGAGCTATATCCCAAAGAGATCAAACAAATGAGAAAAGGACCCACATGTATAAAAACATTCATAGCAGCTCTTTTTGTGGTGGCAAAGAACTGGAAATTGAGAGGATGCCCATCCATTGGGGAATGGCTGAGCAAGTTGTAGTATATGAATGTAATGGAACAGTATTGTGCTATAAGAAATGATGAACAGGCTGACTTCAGAAAAACCTGGAAAGACTCATATGGTCTGATGCTGAGTAAAGTGAGCAGAACCAAGAGGACTCTGTACACAATAACAGCCACGTTGTGCGATGACTAATATTGATAAACTTAACCCTTCCCAGCAATACAAGGATCTAAGACATCTCCAGAGGCCTTGTGATGGAAAATGCTAGCCACATCCAAAGAAAGAATTATTGAAGTGGAATCGCTATCTTTTTTTCCTCTTCTGTTGAGTTTTGTTTCCTCTTTCTGATGGTTCCTCCTATTGGTTTTAATTTTTAATAGGAATGTAAATATATAGCCTGTATCAGATTGTGCACCGTCTTGGGGAGGGTGGTGGGAAGGAGGGGGGAGAAAAGTTTTAAACTAAAAAGCTTATGGAAGTGATTGTTGATAAATCAAAATAAATTAATAAAATAAATTAAAAAAACACCAAAACCAAAAATCAGAGCCCTCCAAAAAAGCAGGCTCCATTCTCCTTGGGTGTCAGGAGGCCCGAGTAGATAATCTGCTAATAAGACCGCAGGAAGGATGGTTCCACTGTCCTTCTCCCAACTTGATAAACCTTTTTATTATATGGAAGATTAGAGAAGGGGATAATATGATTTTACATGACCATTAAAACAGACCCTGATAGGAAGAATTCAAAGAAATAGGAAAGTGAAGAGACGCAAGGTAGAGAAAAAAGTGGAGGTCAGAGAGCAATATGCCAGTGGACAATAACCATGGGGTGAAAAACAAATTCATATTCTATGCATGATAGTAAAGAAGGTCTGGCAGCCAGTCAGCATTTATTAAGCACCTACTATGTGCCTGGCACTGTGCTAAGGACTGAGGATACAAAGAAAGGCAAAAGAGAGCCCCTGCTTCTAGTGGGGGAGACAATGAGCAAACGAGCTCAAGATAAGATAAATGGAAGCTAACCAACAGAGGGAAGGCCATAGCATTAAGAAGAATTGGGAAAGGCTTCTTGTAGATGATGAAATTTTAGCTGGGACTTAAAGGAAGCCAGGAGGCAGAGATGAAGAGGGAGGGTGTTCTAGGCACGGGGGACAGCCAGAGCCAATGCCCAGAGTCAGGAGATGGCTAGGAGGCCATCGTCACTGGAAGAACATGTGGGGGATGGGGGCAGGGGAGTAAGGTGTAAGAAGACTGGAAATATAGGTGGGTGCAGGTTATAAAGGGCTTTGGATGCCAGACAGAGGATTCTGTGTTTGGTTCTGAAGTTTGTTGAATGGACGAAGAGGCGACATGGTCAGACCTATGTTTTAGAAAGTTAATTTGACAGCTGTGTTGAGGATGGACTGGCCTGGGGAGAGCCTTGAGATAAGGAGACCATTGGCATAGTCTAGATGTGAAGTGATGAGAGCCAATACCAGGGTGGGGGCAGCATCAGAGGAGAGGAGGAGGAAACGATGGGCCTGGCCCATTGCCTGGCTTGGGGCTGCCAAGGGGACGCCCCACACTCGCTCTGCTGGTTCTCCTCTGCCCTCTCTGACCACTCCTGCCTCCTTTGCGGGATCTTCCTCCAGATCAGCCCACTCCAGATGGGCTCAGTCTGGGGCCCTCTTCTCTGTGTCCTTCCCAAGGAGTCTGGCCACAAAAGGAGGAGAGCTGTGGAATGACAGTTAGTGGGATGGCTGGATCAAGTGAAGATAGGAGAAAGGGGTGGGGTTAATGTTCCGTAAGCAGCAGAAGTTACAGCTGTGTGTGATCACTGGCAGCTTTTTGGCTTCTCTGCTCATTGGTTGGTTGCAGTGAACATCCTAGTTTTTCTTTTCTTTTTGGCGAGGCAATCGGGGTTAAGTGACTTGCCCAGGGTCACACAGCTAGTGAGCATCATGCGTCTGAGGCCAGATTTGAACTCAGGTCCTCCTGACTCCAGGGCCGATGATCTATCCACTGTGCCACCTAGCTGCTCCCCTAGTTTTTCTTAGAGTCTTGTTTGTACGTAGATACAACACTGGACCTGGAGTGAAGAACATCTGACTGTGTTTAAATCTGGCCTCCGTCATTTACTGGTTGTATGACCCTGGGCAAGTCATATGACCTCTGGCTGCCTCAGTTTCTTCATCTGTACAACAGGGATAATATGTCTTCAGGGCTGTTCTGAGGATTAAATGGGATATTTGTAAAGCACTTTGCAAAGCTTACATCATTACGTAAGTGCTTATAATTATTATTATCGCTGCCATTGTAAATATTATATGAATACCTGTACATGTCAATGGAAGTCCAAATAAAATTTACATTTAAAATAAAGACTTTTTAAAAAATTTAAATTTTAAAATTAAGAGTGTAATAGAAATACTAAAAGGCACCTGATCTCATTGCTTCCAGCAACAGGGAGAGCCCACATCCTTCAATGTCACCTTCCATGTGCTCCTCCATCAGGTCAGGCAAATGCAGCTGCTTTCCTGCAGTTACCCATGAAGGTCCCCAGGAGGAGTTTTCTCTCTGAAACCAACAAGAAGAAAAAGACATGAACAAAGCAGCCGCCTGCCCAGTGGCCCCAAGCAGCCAGGGCCACCTTCTCTGACAGGAGCTGGGTTGTTTTGGCTACAAAACAGGGGGCAGCCAGGTGGCACAATGGATAGCGCATCAGCCCTGAATTCAGGAGGAGCTGAGTTCAAATCCGACCTCAGACCAAACACCTGACACTTGCTAGCTGTGTGACCCTGGGCAAGTCACTTAACCCCAACTGCCTTAAAAAAAAAAAAGGTAAAAACAAAACACCAGGAAACATCCTCCTCTGATTCTGCATGTCAGCGGCTGCACGGTAAGAGTCACCTCAATACTCATGGTATGAGATGCCAGAGAGGGCGGAAAGCACATTGCCTCCAATTCTTGGTAGGAATGAGTGACATGGGTCACTTATAAGAGACACTTATTAGGTGTCGGGCTCTCTGAAGATACAGATGGAGAAGTAGAGACAAAGGCCCTGCTTTCAAGGCGTTTATATTTGATAAGCAATGGTAAGCAATATTTGATAAGTTCCCCTGAACTTGTCTTTCTGAGTTGCCATATTTTCCAGAAACACTGGACCCAGATCATGCAGGAGGCCCTGAATGTGTCAAGAACAAAGTGCCACCCCCCACCCCCCACCCAGCTGACATAATGTGTTGTTTGTACCCCAGGCTTGTATGTCTTTGGGAGTCAAGGCAGGTGCCCCTCAGTCTGCCTAGGCTGAGAAACTGCTTTGCAGCTGGGACCCTTGGAGAGAAAGAGACCATTCTATCTTCATGGTCTAGCTCTGTTCCCAAGCGTCCCCCCTTTGGGAGGGGTTCTGTCCTTCTGCCACGTTACTGCCCCTTTCCCCCTCCCATGCCACACCCCTTTAGGGGGAGATTCCGGGCATTTCCTCCTTTCACCCTGCTGTTACAAAAATGCAAACTTCTGTATGGATTGTGAACTCTTTGAGTTCCACATGCATGTTCATTTCTCTTGTAATAAACCTAGTTTTCTATGATTGCACATGTACAACCTATATTAGATTGCTTGCCAACTTAGGGAGGGTGGAGGAAAAGTTTGGAACTCAAAGTTTTATAAAAAATGAATAGTGAGGGGGCAGCTAGATGGTCCAGTGGTTAGAGCTCTGGCCTTGGAGTCAGGAGGACTGAATTCAAATCTGGCTTCAGACCAAACACTTGACACGTACTAGCTGTGTGACCCCGGGCAAGTCATTTAACCCCAACTGCCAAAAAAGAAAAATAGTGAAAACTATCTTTACATGTAATTGGAAAAAATAAAATAACTATTTTTTTAAAAAGCCTAGTTTTCAAGTAGGTTTCATGAAGTTGTGATTGCCTGTTGACACATTCCAGCAGGGTCTGACAACTTTTATATATATACATGGTACGGATATATATGGTATGGAGGCCAGGGAGGGATATTTTGGTTTGGAAAATGGCAGGGATGCTGAGTGGAGGAGACTGTACGATGCTTTGTAGGTCCAGGAGCAGGATTCATTTGATTATGGTTCCATAACAGAGGGGAGGGTGCTGGGGAGTAAAGCGTGGCCAGTCTGACACGGTAGGCCACATAAAGCACCCACCAATCAGAGACAGATTGCTCCTAAGGAGGAACAGTCTGCGTCAGGTTTTTAAGCTTTGAAAGGCTAGAGGATGAGCCCCAACACTCACAACTGTCACTGAGGATGTCATGGTTTACAAAGTGCTTCTTCTACTCGGCCTCTCTTTGCCTCACAACAACAGCGAGGTGGGTGGGTAAGATTCATCTGTACGAGGAGTAACACAGCAAGTGTAGGGGGCGGAATGTGAACTGAGGCCTTCTGATCTCCAAATCCAGGGGATCCTCTAGCACATGGCCTCACCAGCATTTTGAATTCTCTTACAGAAGCCTAAGCCTCAATCTATTATCAGAGAAGCTACGTGGCATGGATGGAAGTGAGCTGGACCTTGGAGCCAGGGGAGACTTGAATTCCCTCTCACTCTTGGTAGCTGAATGACTGGCTAACTATGATCACCGACCCTCAGTTTCCCACCTATAAATGGGGACAATAATAACTGTGTTATTGCCTTCTAGGGTGGCTGTGAGCCTCAAATGACATAAGGAGAGTAAGTCGCTTTGTAAACTTAGAGCGTTTGATCAATGGCAGTTATTAAATAAATGGATGGGAATCTGGCAGCTGAAGAGGCTTGCACTTCTTAATTCAGAATTGAAATTCTGTGTGTTCATATTGTGTGGGAACATGTCAACAGGATTTCTTAAACAACACTCATTCTACAAGTCGAAATCACCCACTGATCTTCAGGGCAGCAGACTAACCTTGCCACAATTAATCTGGTTGAACTAGAAGAAAGTATGAAAGGTAATGGAGAGCAGGCTAGAATCAGAGTGAGTCAGGTTCCCATTTCTCTGGTGTCTCCTTGTCCTCTTCCCAGTATCCTGGTCCTCATGGAGAACAAAGGATAAGCCACAACCACCATGGGCAGAAGGAGCCCCATCACCGGAGGGCTGGAGCCTGCTGATTCTGCCCCTGGAGAAGCCAGGCCCCAGCATTGGCCCCTTCTCTCCCCACTCCCTGTGCTCCCCATGCCTTCCTGGGTTTCTGGATCTGGAACTAAGATGCTGGGCCTTCACTCCTGCCCCACATCAAACAGTGGCTACAAATTCATTTGGAAGAAATGACATGAGGGGCCATTCTGCCCAAGACTGGCAGAAACAACTGTGCTGGACTTGGCATTGGGTCTTCACTGTTCACAGCAGCAGAGCACAGTGGTCTTGACAACTGAAAAATCACTGTTAATCCCCAGCTTTGCCTTGCCTGAGTATTTCCATTCTTCTTCCATCAAACGCTTCCTCAGGGTTGCCCGCAAAGAGCAAAAGTGATCTCAATTTTCCCATAGCTCCATCTTCCCCTGGTCCCCCCCTTGATGGAAGCGCTCATGGATAAGGGGCCTGGGAAATGGGCCGAGCAGGGAAGCAGCCCTCTAAATAACAAAGAGGCCTTAGAGATGCACATCAGAGCATCCTTGGCTAAGGAGAGGCCTTACCAAAACTGAGTAAAGCAAAGCGGCACTTGTCTATGCTGTGGGAACTGAGAGTCTCTAAGAGGGCCCTTGACCACTGCCTGAAAGTCCACCACTATGCATTCATGTGAGCTGATTTTTCTTTTTAAGGATCAAATACCTCTGGGAGGTTTAGGTAGCACACCAAACTAGCTGGGGGTTGTTCACTCCTTAGTGTGAATTCTTTTTTTTTAAAGTCATGTACTTAGAGCATATAAGGAGTAGTAGAACCTCTACCTGAAGTATAAATCCCTTTCTCTACAATCACCAATAAGATGGCTTCTGTTTGAACTAACAAAGCAGTCTATTCCATTTTTCAGTTCTACTTGTTACAGAATCTTCCTTATACTGAGAAGAAACCTGTTTCCCTCTAACTACCATCTATGTTCTTAATTCTACCTTTTGGAGCCACAGAGACTAACCCTTAGTTCCTGCCTACCTGAAGGCTTTCACATATTCAAAGCCAGCCAGCCATGTCTCCCCAAGTCTCCCCTTCTTTATGTCTCTTCTCTTTAGTGTTTCCTCTCTTTATGTTAATTAACTTCTGTTCCTTTAGCCAGCAGAAGTCACAGTTTTGAATCCGCTGGCCATCCCGGCCATCTAACGTGTCTATGGGACATCCACTGAGTTCCAGGTCATCGACCTGTCTCCCTGGACAAAACACAAACTTACAGAAGGGCAGAGACTGGCCTAGGGCCTCCCTTCTCCTCTGAGCCTGTCACAGGAGTCTGGACACCGCTAGTTGCTCAGGCCAAGTCTTTCTTGTCCATCATTTTCTAGCCCAGCCCTCCTTTGACCTGGTGCTCTCCTCCCTGCTGCCTGACCCCTTCTCTGCAATCCTCTAGCCTTGGAAACCCTCCCACTTCCTCAGTGGAGGGGTCTCTCCTTTGCCTGTGACCTCTGAAGTGGTAAGTCAACCAGATCTGCCTAAGCCAGACCCCTTTCCCATCCCTATAGAACATCGGGAATGACCCTTATGCCTGAACAGACCTGATTCTCAAGCTGCCCAAGGTACCCTGAAGCCCTGACCCAAGCATCTTAGACTATCATGGAGTCCCTCTTCCTGCCAAGGCCCGAGGCAGGTCTCCCTGGCGAGACCCTTTGGTTGCATCTCTTCCCAGTCTGGCTTAGGAAGCGGCAGGGCTGGCCCTGTTTGGAGGGGCTGGTCCCCAATCTCACTGTGTGAGTATCAAGAAGTGCACTAGTCTGGAGGAGCCAGCATTGCCCTTAATGTGTGTGTGTGGGGCTGCTCCAGAATCCTACCCACGTCATTCCTGCCTCCCATCCCCTTGGGTATCTCCAATTAAGCCACAGATCCCTTCGGGAAACAGGCCAAATAAAAGGGCTTCTTTTAGCATTGACAGGCCTGTCTGTCAGTTTCAGTAATGACCCATGATGTCTTAGAAAGAACAAGCTTTTGGGGTGACTGGATCACACTGTTGACTCATTGAACTTGCCATCCACTGAACCCGCAGAGTTCTTCTTACCCTGTAACACACTGACCCCCCCTGGCTGGTGCTGCCTAGAAACCACCCCACAGGGTACTGAGCCCCGAGCCAAGTCCTTCTGGGAGGAGTGTCCATAGGTTGTACTGAAGGAGTTTACCTGTGGAGAGAAAGCCAAACAAAGACACTGGTAGGCAAACAGCATCAGAATTCCTGAAGGGATCATCATAGATCTCAACAGAGCCTAAGAACTGCAACCAATTGACCCCACAAATATTTACTGAGGTCCTACTACATGCACCAGGGAAGGAGATAGCCACCACAAAGAGTGCCTCGGAACTACAGGGGACAGCAGCCGGCCAGGAAGAAGAGGGTGGGGGATGCTGGCACTGATGCTGCTGCCCACCTCACAGGGCTGCTGGGTAGAAAGCCCTTTGTGAGGTCACTGCAGGAGGGGGAGGGGATGAAGGTCTGGAGGCTC